TACGCGGGATCAGTCGTCTGGGTGGCTTTCTTGAGGAAAGAGATCTCACATATCGATGCAGTCATCACACTGTGAGAGCTAGGATATGAGTCCGTGGAGGGCAGAAAAGGGAAAGTGCAAAACATACAAAAGACGTGGCATGAAAATGCTTCCTACGATGAGGCGATGCTTGACGATCCGAAGAGTCAATACCAGTGGAAGTAACTGCGAAAGTAGTAAAGCCTCAGTCGCAATATTCGAAATGACCACAAAATACCGCCAGGCGAGCTAGGTTGTGTTAGCCTGAGAGACGTCGCAGGGATTTGGAACCGCGCCCAAGTTTAATAAGGTTGAAATTACCAGGTTAAAACATTGACCGCGCCACAGATCCCAAGGTGGGAACTTGCATTGAAAGGCACTGCCCAAAAGTGCAGTCAATGCCCAGACATATAGAGTAATCTCAATGCCTCTGGACAGCCGTTTTCCTTTGGCTACTAGCGTAAACTGCCGGATGAAGATGACAAAAGACATTTTGGATAGAAAAAGACTCATGATATAAAGGAGAAACGCAGCATATAAGCTCTAAGGATTCCATGTCAGGGGCCCGTACGGAAAGTGGGGAATGAAGTGGTGTCACAATTCTCTCTTCTCACCTTCATAACTCTAACAGCGTCAAGGCTGGATATCTCTTCGAAGTGGCTGCCATAGCCGGATGCCACCGCCAGAGACACAACAAGGGTCTGGCCGACCGCGAGAAACTGCCCAAATCGTCAGCCAAGAGCGGTCCAACTTAGAAAAGACAAGACAGGTGTACAAGTGCAGCTACGATCAGGAGGTCATCGATATCAAGCTTATGAAATAGTCGATATTTTGTACCTAGTCGCGTGAAAACGCTGAGGATCATCACAACCAAAAAACACCAGGCAGTCACATTGATTGCAGGGTCCTTGGTGTCATTTGTAAATCGAGTGCCCATGTCTGCGGGAAAGAGTAAACGAAAGAAGTGTAGGAAAGAAGGCTCTCCGTGACTGTGGAACGGCTGCGGATCAACTTTTTGAGTAGCTATAAGTGAACAGGCTGCCAGGATCCAGCTTGGTTTTCAATGCGCACTATCGTGCACTTATGACAGTTTGCGCACGATATGGTATGCCAATGAACGGTGCCGGATGCGTCAACGGAATCCCTTGAGTCTAGAACTCACGGTCCCAGGAGCTATCGCGATGATTATGATAGCCTTCAAGCCATTGACCGAGATTCCTATAATTCATCTTACTTTGCATACTGGGCCCTTGGCACAAAGCGTCATCGTGGCATCGGTTAGGAGTAGTACACCCCACCTTGACCAACTTAGGCCGTGGTTCTACTGATAAGAATAGACTATTCCATAGATGGAAAGTTTTCATGTGGAAGCTCCATTCATCACCATCATGTGTGGCCAATGAGATCCTTATGATCTGCATCCACTTCCTCAGATATGGTTTCATTCCATGGTTGAAGCATGTGTTCTGGGCTCGAAGTCGAGTTCTGGCTTACTGCAAAGCTAATCTCCCGTTCTCCCCGACCATCAGCCCCACTTTTCGCGATGGATCTAGGTGGGTGCCCGCGAAACGATCACAAGCTGTGCCATTGGTTGTTGTGCAAGGTATCCAAGCAAAGTCTAGTAATGGGAATGTTGATCTCAAGCAAGGCACCTCGAACGCGCCACACCCAATCAGATCGCTCGACATCTATCTCTCGCGTGCCAAATCTTCTTTTCTCTTAGTATTTAATTCTCCTGGTCTGTGAAGTCTCCATCCAGACACACAATTTCCTCGATCTTTTCCAACTCTGCTTCGACTGCTACTTCAGCCTCTCTTTTTCCATCTTCGATCTTTATACTGTCTGCATTTGAAGCCAGCGACATGGATTCAAGCGACCAGAAGAATCTTGTTCCTTCCATCGGAATGGACAGCCCAGCAAAAGCTCACGCCCCGCAAGAGCGGGATGATGCCCATCTCCAACGAATGGGCAAGAACCCGGTCCTCAAGGTATGCCTGCCAGTGATGGGCAAGATGAGCTTCACGAGTCCAAGCAGCTGACACTTCAAGCGAAACTTTGGCATGCTCTCAATCTTCGGTTTCAGTTGTACGATCCTAGGGACGTGGGAAGGATTGCTCGGGTACGACTCCTCCGCTTCGGAATGCCTGGGTGAAATACTGACGGCTTGCACAGCACCTTCATTAGACCTCTGGAAAAGTACGCTCCTTGCGCAGATATCAATGGTTATCATGCTAATTTACTGAAGCGGTGGGTCTGGTGGTGCAGTATATGCTTTCATCTTCGCCTGGATCGGCACCGCATCCATCTTCGTCGTCCTCTCAGAGCTCTCATCAATGTAAGTTTCAAGCTTGGATACGGTGGCGATGCCTAACTGTCAGTTAGGGCGCCCACCGCGGGCGGGCAATATCACTGGGCAGCTATGTTGGCACCAACGAAGCACCAGAAGTTCTTGAGTTACATTACCGGTAATATCCCAGTGCGTTCTTCACCGTGACAGGTCTATGTGCTAAAGCTCGGATTGACAGGTTGGTGGACTGTTCTTGGCTGGCAGACCGCCCTCGCCTCCCTGGCGTTTTTAACCGGAACGACAATTCAAGGGGCAGCGACCTTGGGCAATCAGCATTATGATTCTCAGCCTTGGCAAGGCACTCTGCTCGTCTGGGCGGCTCTTGTCTTTGCGTTGCTCGCTAACCTGGCCGGCGGGAAGGTTTTGCCTCGACTCGAATCACTGACCTTGGTTGTGCACGTTCTAGGGTTTTTCGGTATCATGATCCCCTTGGTATACATGTCAGACCATAAGTCCACCAAAGAGGTGTTCCTGCAATTCTCCAACAGTGGGGAGTTTGCCACCCAAGGCTTAGCCTGGTTTGTGGGCATGAGTAGCTGCGCATTCGCACTTGCGGGGGGCGATGCCGCTGTCCATGTAGGTTACTTGCATCTTTCATGATTTTCCGTCCCGTACCCTGATGATCTTAGATGTCTGAGGAAGTAGAGAGTGCATCGCGCGTCATTCCCCGTGTGATCCTGCTAAGCGTCCTCGTCAACGGCTGTCTTGGCTTCGGCATGCTGATCGCCATTCTCTTCTGCGCCTTCGATCCTAGAGAAGTGCTCAATTCTCCCACCGGCTATCCCTTCATGGCAATCTTCTATGAGGCGACTAACTCCCGGTCGGGGTCGTTGGCCATGTGCTCCATCGTACTCATTAATTATGCCTGTTCTCTAATTGGATTGATGGCCGCGGCATCACGACAGCTGTGGTCGTTTGCCCGAGACAAGGGAGTTCCCGGCTGGCGTTGGTGGGCACAGGTAGGCTCTATCTGTACTGGATCTTCCGTTATTGATTTCTAACCGTGCCAACGGCAGGTCTCATCATCCCGCCGGCTTCCCGTGCATGCGATTGTTCTGACTGTGTCTGTCAGCATGGTGCTGGCACTCATTAACATCGGTTCGTCCGTTGCGCTAGATGATGTGTTATCTATGGCCGTATCAGGGTCCTATCTCTCTTACTTGATAGTTTCTATCCTGTTGTTTCGTCGCCGTATCCGTGGCGACATTGCGTCTACCGACGACGGTGAGCAGGCTGCTGTCAACGTTCCCGGTGGGAAGCTTGTATGGGGACCATTCCATTGTCCTGGAGCCTGCGGTACGGTCATCAATGGAGTGGCTATCATCTATACCACGATTGTGGTGTTTTTCAGTTTCTGGCCATCCGAGGTAGATCCCAGCGTGGACAAAATGAACTGGAGTGTCTTGGGTATTGGTGGCAGCAGTGTTATTGCCGTCGTGTATTACTTTCTGAGAGCACGTCACAGTTATGCTGGGCCAGTCATGGAAGTCTCATTGTGAAGTCTCAAGAGACACCCAGACAGGTTGGAAAGAGCACATGTAGAAGTGCAGATTTATGGCAATTGCGGTATTCTGGCGCACACGAAGTAAGCCGGCAGGCCAACGGAACCGCTGGATTTGACCTTCCACTCCCCTAGATATCGATGGCATCCGAAATTCATGCGGGTACTATTTCTGGTTGAATATTATCTACACATCCAACGAAGAAGCTTGATTGTCAGCTGTTGGCTGTGATATTAATGAATCTTACATGTATCTTCGACTAATGAGCCGCACAAGTCCCGCCAATTGTATACAGGAACGTTAGTATGGATATGGGATCTTCTTTCATGGTACACGCTGAGTTCGATGTAAAGACTCGAACACAGGCCCTCTGTAAGTGCTCGGGAAGTGACTTCATGACCCAAGTGGCAAATTATTCGGGGGTTTTCCCGGCAGGTAAATAGATCGGCGGCCGTTCCATGGATCGTCAGCTGCATGGCAGTAGAAACTCAATTTGTTGCAAACTTTAACCCATCGAATCAAGTTCGGCGGCAGAAAATTGACTACCCGGTCGAAACATTCACGGATCAAGCCCCGTGAGAGAATTGCATGTTTAATAGTCAACTCAAGATTCGTAGCTGTCATGAGCCGAGAAAATGCCGGAAGACTGCTACAGACACATCCCAAACCATGCTTCATATTTTGTTCAGCCATAGATTATGTTCTCGCCCTTGGTATCCGTGAGCGGTTTGTTCCAGAGCCCTCTACCAAGACATCTCCTCCAATTATCGACAGTATGGCTTAAGCACAATCCGAAATAAATTGCCAACTTAGTATCAGAGGTAAACGGATTTTATTTCTACCTAGATTTAAACGGCTTTCCAACCGCTGCTGTTATTGTAACTAGAAACAAAAGTCGAGTTATCGATGGGTTGAAATGAAGGAGCGAACAAAAAAGAAAATAAGCGAAGAGAATTCAAAGACAAGTGGACAACCCTATGTCAGCTGAGCAAACCCGTCTTGTGGTATCTCAAACCCATCTTCCAACTTGTGAACAGCGTTACTTCTCGCCGCAAAGTCTCCATGAATTCTATTGAAAGCGTGATCGATAATGAAAGGCGTGGGTTGAAGAGAGACGAGTTTCTAGAATTCGATCAAGCAGCTTCCAGCTCCTCCGGGACATCGATTGGTGTCGCCGTTCGGTCTGTGGCCGTTGATTGCTTTGGACGGTCCCATCTGTTCATCATGATAAGCTTCTGTTTGTTCTTCATACGTATATGGCACAGCAAGTCTTACCTAGATTTAGACCCTTTTTCACGAACGAGGAATTCGATCTCAAGCCTTCCAATTTTTGCTCAGCTGCAGCATCATTGTCTCTCAGTCCAAGACGCGGTGGGAAGGTGGGCATTTGTAGCGTCGATCTACGCCGTGATGATTTGCGCCGTGCTTGCTTGGGTCTCTCTCGCCGTGACGTAGTGAAATGCCGTGGAATCACACGCTGGCGTCGAATACCTTTGAGAAGTTGGTTATATTTCCCACGCAGCGATTCCGGGGTCCGTGGCATGCCAAAGTCATCCGTGTATTTCTCAGACTTTTCTTCCCATGACAAGCGCTTGTGCTGTGCCAACCAGCCGAGAAGAAGCTCTTCTTCTGACTCGGTCCATGGTATGTAGATGGCTTTGGGCATGGTGTAAAAACAGAGTGAAAGGATTTTGGTAGCAGAGAGGATGGAAGGAGAGAACAAACAGTGAACTTCAAAGTGTCCAGTTTCTAGTAGGGTTTTTGGTTAATAGCTAGGCTAAAGGGAGAGAAACACGTGTTTTATTTTCTTCTCGTCTGTTGAACATCATTTCTAGAGTATGTGAGTGTTACCGTAGTGTTCATAATGGATACGTGCAGACCATGGATGGACACAATAAACAGAATTTTAAACTGCATATTGCTCATTTACCTATAACCTTAGACGTGACAATGCTTTTCATGGGCCAGAAAGCAAGTTGAACAACCGTCCAAGACCTGAATTACTATTTTTCATCTTTTCCCACGCTTTCTCTAAAACAAAGCCAAGCCTTGATGGATACCTGAGCTCAGTTTTCATCATGCGATATCTTGAAGAAGCAACAAGCAAGAGAATTACACGAAAGGTGCTCTGGTCATTCCGCACCAGGCCGCTCTCGTCGTTAGACTGCACCAAGCCAAGGAGCTAGAACGAAAATGCCTATAAACTCGAAAGAGCGAATATCCTTACTACAATACATACTGAAAATTCTAGATAAGTACTCATGTCACGTAACTTGATGTGTCATAAGCGGTTGTCGATTTTCCACTGCCCTGTAGCATGTAGATACAAAATCTATCCTTCAATTTTCTTACCTTTTTCCTTTTTAATTTCTCTTTTTTTTTTGGTTTTGTTCTGGGCTGGGGGGCGACGCTAAAGGTTAAAGGGTGGAACAGGTACTGTTCTCAAACTCAAACAAAATTTGCCTCAGCCATATCCATGTTCACAGTAGCATATATGTTTCTCCTCCCCTCCAGCCACTTCCTTTATGGCTTTCGAGTTTTTTCTTCTCTCTTACCATCATAGCCAGCTATGAACTATATGCTAGAGGATGAGCCTTCTACAAGACCAGCCAACTTCTTAGCAGACTGGGGTCAAATGTTCAGAGGAAGCACACAACAGCCGGCTTCAATCTACAGTGTTCCTCTATCTGGAGTTGTTTCGGGGGAGAACAATTACCGCAATGAATATGAAGGACCCGTTTACGAGGACTTTTTAAAGGACACAATGGTTGAACAAAATCATACTTCCATGGATGACGCCCCTCTGGGCACGCATGGCCCACCCGAATCTTCCCTGGGTATGACGGCCAAACAAAATGAAGCACCCAAAGTTCCCATAGATCTGGTTGATACCCTCTCAAGGGAGTAAGTCTTTGTCATCCCCTCAGATATTTGCGTCCACGATTGACGCTTTTCTCTATAGCTTAAATGAAAGAGCGCAGTAGGTACCGTTTTTATTGAAACCTAAAGAAAGCTCCTTTATAATCGCCAATTGTCTAATATGTTGCCTATAGGAGAATCAGAGATCACTTTTGGAAGCAGAACATGCGGAATGTTGATATGCAAAAAAGTCTAGAAGCCATGGCAAACGACTATAACAGAATACAAGAGCTGGAACAAAGGCTTGCAACCCTTCAGCAAAAGCTAAATATACTCAGTGAGGAAACGGAACGGATTCCGATGGAACAGAAATGAAAACGAGCTAGGCGATCAGTACAGTCAATGGGAATGAATTAGCCTTCGACTATGTATATTGAGATTAGTGCTTAGGATGCAAGTGACTCAGGGGTAGCGTCAAGGCATACTGCGGGGCCCATACCACATTTTATGTAGCGCGCACTCTATGTTGTCTCTTTATGTATTGCTAAATGAAATTGAAGCTGGTAAAATGCCGAGCGACTGTTCATTCAATTCATTCCACATAATTGACTTGGGAGCATGAGTGGACAGGTTGCCCGGGGGGCAAACAAAAGAAGCCTGGAGAAGCTGACCTCGTGCAAGCATGCCAGGACATATGGTGGAATCACTGAGGCGGGAGTTAGATCTTCTATCCAAGCTATGCCGTTGGCAGGGAAGTCAGTAGGCCCTAGAATCTTTACAACAAAGCTTCGCAGTGGCAAATCTCGATGAGAACTTTCAAAAATAAACTCTCCACGCCACATGGGCGACCTCCTAAAATTCTCACCGGTGTCCCGGTGGTCGACGGGCCGAGGGTTCATCCATGTGGCCCATTAAGCAGCGATCGATCAGATTCGGCCGAACCACTTTTATGTGCGTCAAATATTTGAAGCAAAACGTAAATCACTCTGAGCGATGTGAGAAATGCTGTTGCATTGTGGAGTACGGATACGAAAAATGGGCGCCACCAGAGCATCATGGCCGAAGTGTTCGGTTGGCCCACCCCAACGTCCCGGAGTGGGTCCGCCCGAGCCGTGACGATCAGAAATTCCAAATCTCTCTGTCGATCCCAGTCTTGGCAAGAGCTCACGTGTTTCGAAGTTTTGGTGCTCAGCGAGCCGAAGAATAAAATAACTAGAATAGAATTAAGTACTTAGTTTAGGTGTCGGGAAAACACCGCATTAGGCATATTGACAATCTTGATTGGCGGGTACGAAGGGGTGATTCCGGTTCAGCCAGGATCCCAATCATCACGCCCGTGATTCCTTTGTGAGACCCAACTTTAATGCCTAGATCTTTAGCTTCACGAAGCTTCTCTTGTAGCTCCGAAATATTCACTATCATAAATACGGTCTTACAAAATGCACCTTGCCTCTCTTCTGACACATACCCAACGGAGCTGGGCCGGGGTTTTGAGATGGGTTCCCGACATATCCATTGCATGCGCGATCTGGAATCATTGTCAATTGAGTCAGTCACCCGTCATTTGTACCGTCCAATACCACTCCTAGCAACTAGCACACTATGAACAGCCACAAAGTCATCAAGAAACTTCTGGGACTCTATAGACAGCATGCCTGGGTCTATCTTGAAGCGTTTCTGTACATGCTATATAGAAAACCTCGAGATCCGGATCGCCAGTTTTCTCACCTCACTCTCACGATCGATCAACCGATCCCATGCGACAATTAGAATAGATTGGCCGCTGTTGTCTGGATGAATTTAGTATGGCGTATTTTCTTGTAAATATCAATCAAATGCATATAGCAATAAACATCGCCGGACTGCGTCTAAGAGATCTTTTCGTTTGTGTCTAATTTCCGACTGAAAGCTCCAATCTACTGTAGGCCCGTCTTTGGAGTCTGGTCGTTTTTTATGCTTGAACGGTGACAATGGCACACGCTTGCAAGAAGACAACGGTAAAATGGATGTTCCGACAGAGCGACTCGCGCTTGTTGGTGTCATGATATGCTCCGGGTGAAATTCTGTATACTGGGTTTTATGTACGAGATGAACGTCCATCGCTCATTCTCCTCCACGTGCCATTCATCATCCAACCGAGCAGAGTGAATCCAGCTTAAGCAGATATTTTACAGGTTCAAGTGCACCTTGCCGTATATCTTCTCTTGACATTTAATTATGCATAACATCGCGGAGAGTAAAAATTGATTTCTCAATCAAGGCTAAATTACACAAAATCTCCGTATTGGAACTCATCTGTTGAATTTGACGATACTTTTAATGATTAACCACGTATACTATGTCAAATAAGAGTTTATTCGTCCCCTATTCAATTGAACGCTGAAAAGAAAGCAAGGAGAAAATTTTCAACGTTCAAGTCACGAGCTTACAAAACTCAACTACAATTTTGGCAAAGCTAACACAAATGGACACCATTTGGCCTATAGTAAATTATACTTTCAGATGAGTCTCCTGGAATCTTTCTCACTTTTCATTGCCAAAGGAAAGAAAAGTCCAAAGAACTTTCTATCATGAACGCCCAAAGAGTAAAAAATGTCTTCGGCGCCATGAAGCCCTTAACTATCGTGAGTAATAGCTCCTGTAAAATGAAAATCCTTTCACGGCATGTTTAAGTATTGATTCAGACTTAGTATGTGATATGGTAATCTTTGTTGGTCAATGTTCACCCGTTCAGAAACTCATGCTATCTCGCAGGATATTAAGTTTACTATTGGGCCCGTGGCCTTGAGATGCAAACTCATTGTACAACCTAACCGGATAACCAGCATCTTGAGTTTCATTTTTATTGGACCTTCTTCTCATCCACTTCCTTCTGTCCTTTATTATAGTAGGTAAGTCCATATTTTCCTGATTGATATCCATCTGTATTCTCGCTTTCCCACGTCTGGTTAAACAATGATCAAAACTCCACCACTCCGAATGTATCGATCTGTGATACCAGTGTCTTCTTTTATAGGTGTCTAAAATGATACAGTGATGTGCCATTGCTCAAGAAAGCCTTGGTCTGAATAATATAGTTTGCAATCAAACAGGCTATATCGGTATGGGATATTCACTAGAAGATGAGAGTTCTTGTGCAGCTGAAGTCCTGCTGTGGTTTCAAGGAGCAATCATAATGCTTGGGTGTATATTGTGATATGTACGATTGATATTACTTGTCTCGAGGCCCTGACAGAGCCTGCAATAGTAGCAAGGTTGGAAGCATCAGTGAGTCGCAAATAGTCGTCTCTTGGGACTTCCGTTGGGCAATTTTGCTACGTAACTGCATAAGTTATATCTCTCCTTCTCCTCGACGATTCGGTCGTCGTTAGATAAAATCAGCCAGGGCGAATGTGTAAATAAGTACGTGGAGGTCAAACGGACTCTCGCCGGCCAGAAATTCATAAACACCCACGCTCGCCTGATATTCGACCAGCCATTAAATTAGAGGCTGTCAGATCTCAATTCATTTCTTGGTGGGCCTTCAAATCTTGTCTTCTGTGGTCTCTGTATATCGGTTCAATTAATCTTAAGTAGTTCGTCATCGCTGGGGACGTATATAAATAGACTTGATAATCCCTGGACACAGTTTGCTGTACGCGAACTCGTTCGTCGTGAGAAATTTCCTACATTGTGGCAATCAAAGCGTTTTTGAAGTCTTAATATCTAGCCATCAAGGTTTTATGATGGATTCAATTGTGAGTTATCATCAGTACTTGAGACTTTTACAGTGAGATTTTCGCTCATCAATCATGAGAATTTTCATCAGGATACCCTTCGAACTTTAACGTCCTTGAACACGAGAGCCATCCGAGCCGAACGTATTGTATCGAAATATGAAGGAGAGTTTGCTACGTTGCAAGCCTCATTCAACCAAACCAAGGATGACATACACGAGATGGCTAAAGTGGTCGAGCTTCTTTATGAGACCAACCGCGTACTCAGGGATGTAGTGGACTTCTTGGTCAAACAAAAGAATATCACTCCGGGCGACGAGGTTTTGCAAATTTCCGACAGGCTGTGCAGTATTCTGGCTCAGCAAGTCCGAAAATATGAGCCATACACTTCTTCTGGAGCAGGCGAACAAAGTGAAATCAATGGCAAATGTGAACAGGATCAACAAAATCGTCATATTTCGCCACTGTCGGACAAACTCTCGTGAGACTGGTGCGACAGCTGTCAAAGGCCAAGCAAGTGGAGACATGGAGACAGCCAATCTGGTCGTTCAGATTCTAGACTTCAATTCATCGTTATAAGCGTCCGTCGGTTCAGAGATACTATTTGATTTGGAATATGTTTCCCATTTGAGGACCAGCATCTTTTTACACTTCTGCAAGTCCCTCATTCATCCAACTTTCCACCCAATGAGCTATGTAGGCTGCAATATCACCTGTAACAGTCGGCTTGACCCGTAGAGCAGATCTGCCAAGCGAGCCGCCCTTCGACGAAGCTGTTGCGCAGCAAGCTTTGCCAGTCGCGAGCGATGGTTGACCAAGGGCAGGTACTGTCGCGTTGCTCGGGTCTAGGGCGGGGAGCTTAAGTCATTGAAGTACATATAATCATTAAATTGACCTCATCAAAAGATACACTGTCCACACATGTATACGTACACTAGCCGTGAAGCCGAAGCTAGAAGGTACGAGTAGCCATATTGTGCGACATTGACAGATCCCAACCCAGTTGGTTTGTTCTCCGCACAGGTCATTGGGAATAATCTGGTTCAGGGTGTGTGGATGTGAAGTAAATGTGTCTTGTCTTTAGGAATAAAATGTATGGCACCACATAAGCATGGCAGGCACTGCTCCATTTTCGATCTACGCGCCAGCATATTTGGCGGCAATCGCTGTAGACCCATACCCTACTACTGAGCTTTCAAGGTTTGCAGGTTTTTGCTAACGCTCATCGGCTCGGTGTTTGGACAACGCTGAAGACACCTGATTGCCTCTTGCACGCTGGTCTTTGTCCACTTCAGCTCTTCTTGCAGCTCCATCATCACGCCGTGACCATTTCTTAGCTCCTGCTCCAATGTAACTGTCCTTGCCACCCATTTCTGCTCGCTTTCAAGGAGTTCTTCGCCGCGGGTACGCTCCCGAGCGAGCTCCCCTTTCAACTGATCATTCTCTCGCTCGAGTTTTTGTATAATTGCTGTAAAGGAATCGGCGCGGGTCTGGCCCGTCAATCAGCTACTTTTTAGCTATAATGAATGGACCCAGAAGGTCTCAGAAGGGAGAACATACCGATTCGCCCCCGTCCAACGTTGTGACTGGCTCAGCCGAGGCCAGGATGTTTGGGTCCACCGCCTCTATCGTACGGCCAAGTTCCTCCAGAATATTATTGTAAAGGCCAACGGTCCCATTGCTGAGGCTTGTCTCCAGAAGATGAGCGCTAGTCGTCGCTACAGACCAGGCATAGCCATCCTCAGCAGATGGCTGCAATCGCACCCGACTTGGAGCAACCGAAAGCCTCAATCGTTCATCTGCAAGTTGTCATTAGCGGCAGTCTCCGCGAAAAATCAACTCTTTTTTTCCTACTAATGTGCGCTGCAAGGGCTTCGCGACACTGCTGCCTTCGCTGGGCGCGTTTTCCGTTGCTGGTCAAAACCATTTGAGATCGCTGAGATTTTGACGGGTTTGACCAAATGTTCGAGATGCTCACTGCGCGCTTTAACAATCTCTCATGGCATTCGTCATTCGCCGTGGACAAGTACAAGCAAATATCATCTGTTCAACTTGGGAAATCAGGCTCGGTCGGGGCCCAGCATTACTAGGCAGTGGAAACACCGTTCAAAAGACTGACAGTTCGATATCGCCACTCGCGGTGTTGAAATCACGCGTTCAATAGATTTCGATCGATCTGCACACAGATATTTTGTTCGGGCGCAAAGTAAATCTGCGCAAAGGACTAGACCTCAGCTGGGAGCTGCAGATCGCGGACTGTCGGGATGGATGCGAACTTGCTTAGTTACACTACGAATCGCCCCTTTTCTTGCGTCGTCGTGGATTTGAGCTACGTCGCTCCCTGTCGCCGAGGAGTAGCCGAATTGTGATGTTTCCAAATTCCCCATCCATTGCATCCTGTAAATACTGTGGGGCTGCCCCTGCGGTCAGAATGGTTAAGCCTGCACATCCACTGGGATTTTGGGGTCGCGACAACCCACGGTGATCAAGATAAGAGCGCTCGAAGTGAAAGGGGCCTTCATTTCACATCCTTGTGGCTTGCAAAGGCGTCAACAAACAAGTGGGTATACAAGGACATTTCAAAGAAATGCTGGCTCAACGAACATCCCTCAATAGAACGTTGCGGGTTGCGACGCGTGTGACGCAATGAGAATTGATATAGCAAGACGAGAAGATAAATAGCCTCAAGCGGACGCAATTCTTGTGGCTATCAAAGATTCGGGATTTCCCTTTCACCCGTCATGACAAGAATCCCTCACGGACGGCGGCGGCGGGAGGAAGATGATCCCGAGACAATGAGTCTCCTGGGCCCTTCATCTGCCCCACGAGCAAAGCCGAAGAAAAGAAACACTTGCCCTGCTGCGCGCGTTCTCGAAAGGACCAGCGGGGAGAACATCCATGTCAATCCCTCAGAACGACTGACTCGTCTCACTCTACGCCTCCGATGCGACAAACGCAAGAAGCCAGAATATATGCAAAATAGCCCGTGGACCGCTTCGGGTCTATACAAAGAGCATGAAGAAGCGCACGGGGAGGAGCCTGCTGTCAAAGAGCGGATCCGCCAGGAATGGCTCAAGCGGTTGCGTCCCAGACCCAATCGCCTGGACTAATGCGCTATTCGTTAGGCCACACTTGGGGTCCTGTATACACTGCTATTTTATCGAGCCATCCGATGACAGATCTGAAACCAAGTCGCCGTACGAAATGGGTGCAATTTTGACAGGGATGTCCGACGAAAGAGTCCGTTGTTGTACCAACGTCGGTCGGTTCGCGCCAGTGCTCACGTTCAGAGATTGCTCTTCAAGGTGTCTCCCGTGCGGAGCTCTCGTGTCGTAGCTAGATGGAGTGAGGTGACTAGAAGCCTAAGGTGGGAGAGAAGGTGGGTTGTCGAGGAACGTTGAAAGGCTGGTTGCTCTGCAAATTCTAGTCAGAGGATAGCTGAACCCATGTCAAAAGTGTACCGACCGATTATGATAATGAATGAATTGTTGAATACATCCAAAGGCCTGTTCCTAAGATTCTTGATGCATTGCCCGATCGAAGTCCGAATCTGCATACATAAAGCGACATGATACATGAAGGGATCGCGATCATCACGCACGCGACCGAGGTCGCAAAAATCAGCCAGTGATTACTTCAAGTTGAGTTCCCCATATCACTCATATCATACACGGGGCATTTGTTCCAATGCATCCAATCGGGAACATCTCGACTGGAGAGCGCTCTTTGTTGTTAATCAAAGGAAAATTTATTGTTATTGTCATCTAGAGGGAAATATGAGGCTATATATACAACGAGAAGAACAAGTTGATTGGAAATCAACTTGATTCTGTATATAGATATTTCGGCATTAATTCCGATGGGACGGCTTGGTTCCTGATCTGCACCAGCCTTATATCACAACATTCCCCCTCAGAATCGTCCTGCTGGCAGGGCGATACTGGAATTGAGCAGAGCAGTCAGGCCTCGGTAAAACCACTCAAAAAACCTTCGTGGGAAAAGAAAGTGGAAAGAGCACCTGCGCTGTCATGCTTGTTGCCTTAGGTTTTGGATACGTCGATTCCCAAAAGACTACAGAACTTGGCAAAGGACGTTGGCCCTAATGGCTTGGTGAGACCATCCGCGGCCTGCTCCTCAGTGGGAACATACTGCAGGTCAATTTCTCCTGCATTCAGCACCGACCGCTGATAATGGAACTTGACATTGAAGTGTTTGGTCCGTTTGTGAAATTCGGGATTGCGGGAGAGCGCAATAGCGGATTGATTGTCAGCCATGATATTAGTGACCGGAGACCGATACAGATTTGTTTCTCCTAGAAAGGTGCGGAGCCACTGTAGATGTAAAATGGCATTGTATTGGCCAATGTATTCGGCATGAGTCGTGGACGTGGCCACTTCCCCCTGACGTTTGGACGACCAGGAAACCGGCGCTCCCGCCAGTTGGAACACGTAGCCAGACGTGGAGTATGCTCCATCCGTGACGACGGAGCCACCGAAGTCGGCGTCAGTGTATCCGATCAATTGACCATTTCGGTAGGTGATACGGTGAGATTGCGTGGCTTTGATGTAGCGAAGCAGTCGCTGAAGTGCGGCCTGGTGATGCGATTGCGGCCGGGATGTGAAGCGACTCAACATTCCGAGCGCAAACGCAATATCCGGTCGCGTGCCAACCATCAAATACATGAGCGAGCCGATAGCAGTTGCATAGCGAGCTTTTGCTTCTTCATCCGGAGGTTCCTCCTCTGGGCGAGTATTCAGGCTTTGCTTAGGATTCATCGGCGTAGACTTCGGCTGACAACTCTCCATGCCAAAGTCGGAGAGCACCTTCTGGATGTACTGATGTTGGTGAATAGACACGGACCCATCAACGTGATAGTCAAACTCGATCCCGAGGAACGAACGAGGGATGCCCAGATCGTTCAATCGGAACTCGGTTTGTAAGGCTCGTTGTACTTGTTCAATTTCGTGCGTATTTGCCGCAGCAACTAGAAAGTCATCGACATAAACGCAAACGACGCAGTCCGCTTTCCAGAAAACACAGTTGTCCGATTGGGCCATAGTGAAGCCCTGAGAAGCCAGGACGCGGTGGACGCATTGGTACCAAATCCGCGGGGCCTGCTTCAGCCCATACAGTGAACGGCGCAGCCGACACACGTACCCTGGTTCTTCAAAGCCTTCGGGCAACTCCATATAGATAGACGAATCGACGTCTCCATGGAGAAATGCGGTAACCGCATCGAATTGGTGGAGTTTCCATCCGCGCAACACGGCGCTGGCGACGATGCAGCGGACCGAGTCCATGCGCGACACAGCCGCAAACGTTTCGTGATAATCGATGCCATGTTTCTGCCGGTAGCCTTTGATGACCAGTCGCGCTTTGCGCGTTCCGTTGGTTTTGGTCTTGAAGACCCATTTGCACCCAATCACATGATCCCCAGCGGGGATGTCCTCCCGCCGAACCTTTTCCCATGTTCCGTGTTCGAGAAGCGACGCATATTCTTTCTGGATGGCGGCCCACCAGATTAGCTGGTCTGGGCCTGACACAGCTTCGCGGAAGGTTGCCGGGTCGGCTTGTCTGGCCGGTGCAGTATTCAATGCGCCTGCCGAGTACACCTTCCCCAGCGATTCCAGGAGACGCCGTGATGGTCTTCGTCTGCGACCATACATCGAATACCCAAGATCCGATGTCAAGTCGGTTTCCTGTTGGCTTGGATTGATCACTGGAGGTGTCTCATCCTCGCGCTCAGATGGCGGCTTCTCTCGTTCATTCGACCGAGGTAATGGCGACGCAGGAGGTGTTGGCAGCTCGCTGGCTGAACTTGGCATTGGTGGAAAGACAGATGATGGAGGAGCGTTGTCCGGGAGGTCGTTGCCTGTTTCCCCCTCGATGAGTGGCGCCACGGGGGTCCTCTCATCGAACTCGACATCACGGGAGAATATTGTCTTTCCTGAGTGGATTTCGTACAGCTTGTACTGGTTGGGTTCACAATAACCTAGCAGTCGGCACTCGGACGACCTCGGTCCGAGTT